AACTGCCAAAGGCGCAAGTCCTGCGAAGGTAGCGCCAAGCACACGAGCATCGACCTCCACTGGCGCGGCCCTTGGCACGGGCGAGGGGACGAAGACCTGCGAAGCCATCAGCACGGCCAGCATGGCGCAACCGGCAGCGAGGAGAGAGCCACGAGCCCGGGCCGTGCGGACCATCTTTGGAGCTGAAGTGATCCTAGTTCTAGAGTGCTCTCGACAGTGCTGAGCAGCTGGAGCTTGCGAGCATGCCAGTACATCTCCCGCACGCGCTTGCTTCTTTAACATCCGTTACTGCACACCGCACAACTGTCTGCAAGGAGAGCTCAAGTTCTCAGCAATGCGCGACATCCTGGCCTGTGCGTACTGAAAGCCTCTGGACCTTGACGAATCTGCGCAGGTCCACGCTCTGCTCCGCGGTGCCCTCCCGTTACCAACTTGGCAACATGCTTTTCTTCAGAAAGGTTAACGAAGAGGCCAAGACACGTCAGGCCTCGCTTAGGCTCGTACCGAGGTCCTTAGAGGTGGACGAATCCGGCAAGTCTCCACGCGCACTGCTCGAGGAAACCAAGATGCCATCTTGCCCAAGTATACATGATGTGGTACGTACGGGCCACTACATTGTTACAATAAGTGTCTCAGGTACCCATCACCCGAATCATTAAATACTTGCCCCGGTGAGCCTTTGCCCTGGGGGACATGGGCCTCCACGGCGTCGAACAGAGTTCTTGAAAATTGGTTCTGAAAGCTTCCCAAAGCTCCTGAACCTGAGGAACCAAGAAGCAAGAACCAAGACTCCTCCCGGTGGTTTGAACTCAAAGCTTTGAAAACTGCTTTTTGAACACTCAGCACGTTCTTGGTTCTTGGCACCCCGAATTTTGAGCCCCACACTTTCAAAAGAATCTGAAACACTCCGTCGGTCCAGCCAAGAGTCTAGAGTTATTTGAACATTGGTTCGTGTTCGCGGCTCAAGAATTTAGACTGGGTCTATGAACCAAGATGCAAGATTCGAGGGTCTCGGGGATCTTGGTTCTGGGTGCTTGGTTTCCGGCCTTTATATTGACCACGTTAAGCGCATTTTACCACTGCCAGGTCCAAGGAAGAGCGATGAGTACATCGCACCTCGTACATGACGATTTAATACTGGTTAGGATTATACTCTCATCTTAGTAGAACCACAGCAAGACATGTTAAACATCACATACACTGAGACCCTTCGTTTCGTAGGACTGTCGCCTTTGTGGCATTCGAGACGGTTGCAGTGCGAAAACAGGACGTCAGCTGGAATCCAGTAGAGGCCTAAGAGATCTGCCAACCAATTCAGCAAGCATGAAACACCAAGTCACCAACGAACGAACAAGCACTACTTAGGGAACAACGCCCTAGAACTTTACACATTCCTATAGTGACAGGCTCATGCTGCAGCCTGTCACTTTGTGCAAACCCCGCACAAGTTTGACCTGCTATTCAAATAAGAAAATCCATTAATCCATTCGATGTGACCGTGACCCTTCAATTTTACACGTGGTCTGCTGCAGGGCTGGGGAATGTGGCACTGCTGGCCGATGTAATCAGAGATGCGGGTCATGCACGTGACAGAGAACGAATGGTACCGCATTAGATGGGATAGATGCAATTCGCATGTGGTGAAATTGAAGGTGCTTGACACAATCGGAGGGACCTGAGCATCCATTCTCTCAAGAATCACTTCCGGGGAGGTGGGCCCTTCAGGTGAAAACTCCTGTGTCTTCTGTTTGGCGTGTGGTGCTGAGGGCTTGCCTGCACACATACGATAGATATATCCATGTATATATATATATATATATCTATATCTATCTATCTATATACTCTCATGATGTCAGGAAATCGCGTTTGCGCAGCTGTACACTCGCACGGGCTGTGCATGACGAGGCACCAAACTGAGGCTGCACAGAGACCGTGCAGCCACACGGCCTTGCCAGGCGATTTCAGCGCTTCCTGGCAAACGGAGCCGTAGCTCCGAAGGCCGCAGCTCGGAGAGATCCAAGCTTCGCAAGCCTCAACCAGACTCAAAACTCTGAGCAACTCGAAAAAGGAAGAAACGTAGCAAAAGAATATGCAACCGCTGGACATTGAAGATCGCAAACCCACATAAACTCACAGAATTGTTGGAGACTTCCTCCGGCCTGGTGCTTCCAGGTGGAAGCTCGAGAGGAGCAGTCCCTCTGGTCGGGGTATCGCAGTGAGACCCTGCCCGGCATGGAGTTCGAAGGTCCGGAGCTGGCCAGGGACCTGTCTGCCAAAATTGAAAGTGCACCTTCTTCTACCATGCTGCAAGCAGGCTAGTTACTTAGTTGCCTCTTCTACCGATAGTGGTAGACATATGTAGACGTGTAGTGAGAGGTCACTGTAATCTTGATCAGTGGATTCAAGCATTTCCACATGCAATGGCTCTGACATCGCGATGTAGTCCCACCTCCCAATCAAAGTCGAAGTAGGTAAGCATCGGGCAGTCTGCACGGAAATGCTCCAGACCGGCAGCCTCGGGTCGAGCCTAGATGATTTGGACAAGCTCGCATGAGCCATTACTTTTCTCTCGTTTCTCGATCACACTGCCCACTCTCTGCACTACGTGTCGGCATTCTGTCGGTGGGCATGTCCCGTACTTCGCTGGCATGCAAGATTAATGTAACTCCGAATGCCTTTATTGAACGGCAAAGCATTTGACATCGAGCTGTTAGGCGCGAGCAATGTGACGGTGGCTCACTTTGGTGCCAGCTTTTTATTGGGTAAGAATTCGTCGATGGGCGTCTGGCCACCGCCAAAGCCATGCGAATTTCGCTCAACGCTTGGGCCGTTTGAGTGTGTTTGCTTCCAGTGCTTCGGGGCTTTGTGCTCCACCATGTGGAAACACGCCTTCAGCCCTTCGCATAATGCTTGGCCTGGGCGATTAGCAGCTAGGTGCGGCACCATCGCTTGTTGCTGGATTCTTTGCAGTTCTTCTGAAGGCAGGATCCGGGCAAGGCCATAGCCTGTGCGCATCTCCAATCGCCGCTGGCCCGTCAGCAGGAGGACCATCAGCCCCGTGTGCAGGCGCCGGTCACCGACACCCCAGAAGTTCAGCAATGCTGCGGCAAACGCTGTTGGCTGCACATCCACTGCAAGCGAATCCAGGACTGCGACTGCAGCTTCGGCCTTCCACTCGCTAGAAAGCTTCTCGCACAGCTCATTCAGCTCAGAGCGCTCGGCATCAGGCAGCAGACGACCGGGATCTGAAACCCACGATGGGGCCATGCCATCTGTTGGGACCAGCCTGGGATTCACAATATCATGCACGCGGCCTGGCTTCATTATCTCCTGTAGAGCCTCTCCAAGAGGGACAGTTGAATCAGAAGCCAAGTGCCGAGGCCTGGCGCTTCTTTGGGCCAAAGCTTTCGGCCATGTCGGCCACACAATGCGTTGAACACATCCGAAGACCGTCGCCGGCAATCTTCCCATGCCAAATGTGGGTGTTCACATCCTACACTTGAGCCATCGCTTCAGCACCCCGTTGCGCACCGACGAAATGCGAATCCAATGCCAGTGTGAAGTGCCCTCCCTCCTTCGATCCCCTGTTTTCTCCAGGTCAAAAACCTGAACTGAATCTAAGCTCCTGATCACCTCTCCTATGCGAATTAGGCAACCCCTGTTGGCATTATCTGGGAGGGCGATACCTCCTGCCACACACCCAGTGCCAATGCATGCGACCCATCGCTTCAACAGTGAACAAAGTCGAAAGTGAACAGTGTCGACTTGTGTGCGTGATGTACGTAGCATCTTTGGTACTCGTAAAAATTGCTGGGCTGTTTCCTCTGTTACCTCAGCTTACCTGAAGGAACGACAATCTGGTGCAGCTTTCAAGAACTCTGGTAGCTCAAGCAACACTTCACCACTGTTTACTTGTGCGGCATAGGGACACTCACTTTGAGACTCTCCAACACAGGAAAGAAGGACATCGTCGCTGTGTCCACGCCTTGAGTCGCTGGGCATTGCAGGAAAACTTAGTTCTCAAGCAAGCGAATTCTGCAGGAAGCTGCAAGAATTTCCATATTGGACTCGCACACCAGTCTCGGCCTTCCACTCGCGCATCCAAATCTTTCAGGTGTCGCCGTGCTGAACAGCTGAGCAATGCCAAGAAAGCTCTTGCCTGCACAGGTGCAAGACAGGTGCAAAACTGGTGCAACACATCGCAAGGATGCGCAAGGCCACAGGAGATCTCACAAGTCCTGGGCCTTGCACAGCTTGATCTTGGTCAAAGGACCAGGCATCAAGCGCCGCGCAGAGGAGGCCAGAGCCGCCCGGCTGCGCAAATCTCCAGCCAAGTGAAGGGCAACCCAATCAACGCAACCACGGAATGCCGCAAAATGCATTTAAAATGTCACTCATGTCTGCCAAGGTGCCCAAAAAAATAAAGACCTTTGCCCAAAGCTCCAAGGCCAGCTCCAGTCGCTCCTTTGCCAAGCGTACGAAAGCTGCTCCGAAAGCTCTTGAAGCTATTGCTTTTGCCTTTCTTGCCCCATTTGCCCCGGCACCTTGTGCCCGTTCAGCACGCGGGGGCGCAGCAGTTCTGCCATTCTCGCCTTACATGCGTGGAATGAATCGCGATGTAGTTTGGCAGTTGAGGCTGGGACGTGCCCGCCTGTGCACAGCAGTCTGTGCAGCACAGCACAGAAAAAGGAACCATAATCACCATGCACGACGCCACCGACATCTCAGTGGCAAGCCCTGAGGACTTCCCGCTTTGCAGCCATGGCAGGGTTTTCCATCGGGACATGTGATGACAGCACCGTTTATTGCTGGCAAAAAACTGTTGCAACTCAAGCAAGTTTCCTGCAAATATGGCCTCGAAATGCTTCCCATAACTGGTTCACACGAGACTCTGATCCATGCAGTTGCAAGCCCTGTTGAGCTGCCGTTGGATGTGACAGCAGTGTTGCACAACAACGCACATGGACGACAGAGATGCGTTCCTTGGCCGAGTGCTTGGCCAAAGTCTGCCATCTTGGCTGTGCCATGTCTGTCCAACAGGATGTTGGCCTGGGCGAAAATACTGCACGGCGCAACTCCGTGGATGCTTAGGTTCAATGCAAAATGCATTGCAATCTGTGCCCTTTCAAGAGTTCTCGAATTGCCATGGTAGCATAACTAGAACGAGGCAGCTGAAACTCCAGCACCAATGCCAGATGGTCCGCCTGCAATTCCTGGAGCGTAGCAGCGGGGAGTGGCCGCACATCACATGCAAGCGGCTCGTCCAATAGATGGTCCAGGTCGGTTGATACCAGACGGGCCTTGGAGCTTCCAGATCCTTCACGTGGATAGGCCAGTGCTGTCACTTTCATTTGGGATGGTCGGCAGATGAGTGGACGATAGCCGCCAGGCATTGAGATACCATCCTTGCTCTCAGGCTCCGCGAAAACACCACGGTCAAGGCCCATCTCTTTCAGCACGCGTTCGTGCAAATACCTTGAATCATTCTCCGGCATCTCGGCAGCAAAGCCAAGAACTGGCACCATTACCTCTGTCAAAGGCGTGCATGACTCCTCGCCCTTTTCCAAGGCTCGCACTTGGAGAGTCCAGCCAGGAGCTGCACACTTGGGATTGGCAGCCACAAAGTCCCCTCTCAGGACTCCCACATTTTCCTGAAGCCGAAGGGAGACCACTTTGTTCCATATATGAGAAGCTACTGAGCGACACCACAGAAGACGCAAGTGACGTGGAACACATTTGGTAGCACCCTTGTAGTCACCAGGGTGTTCACACAGATGCTGAAGAACCTCAGAGCGACTGGTTTGGTAGCTCTCACTGAACTGGGGTCCTGGGGTCCTCACGATAAACCAGCATGCAGCCCCGCAAGAAGAGGGCGTCAGCAACTCCGCTGTTGCCATCACCGCGCCACCAGGTCTGGCAAGCTTGTCCACGTCATTTGGCTCCCCAGTTTTCTGCTGCTGAAGTGGCAGTCAGAAAAGCAGGTCGAGGGGATGCTCCGGCTCGGGTATAAATGACCTGAAGCATCTGGTGCGTACGACCTTGCCGTATGCATGCTCATGTGCCTTCTGCTGGTGCAGACGACAAAAACACAAAGACCCACTTACGCACCCCACGATAGGCCCGTCCCTAAGCAGGCAACCCGCGATAAAACCATGCCGTCCAAAGCACTAGCCATGTCTTGACATGTGTTGACCTATGGTGACCGGTTGCTTACCCTGTTTGATGTGGAGGGAACCGGAGCGAGCTGATAACACATGTACGCCATTATCTTTTAGGTCAAACAGAGGGCAGGAATGGGCAGGCATGACAGATCCAAAAGGCTTGATAACGGCGGCGAAGGCACGGCGGTCTCCAACAAGCACGATGTTGGTGTCAGGGCAAGAGCTTCCCTAAAGTTGCCTTTGCTGGCCTCGCAGAATGCTTGGAGAGTCGTACCGCGACGCGCACGCGAGCCCAGCAACAGCTCCACCACTCGTTGAAAGTTGCCCTGGAGCAATGCGATACCCATTTCCGAGGAGGGCATAGTGCCCGTGCCGAAACGCTGCATGCCGAAATAATTTGGGAAGCCCTGCCGGAGTGCATGCAGGCTCGCGTCCACAGAGCCATCACCGCCATTCGTTCTGACACTACGCAGGACAACAGTAAACTCGTTGCCTGCATGTCCACCCAGCCTCGCTTTATGCGCTTCAGGTGATGCATCCCCGAGGACCAAGCTCCCGACACTTTGCACATCCAACTGCGGTCGGACGCTCAAAGCCTTGCTGGGGAAACTTATCCTTTGCGTTGTTATGCCCCATCGGTCCTTCATACCACAGAAGCTGAAGATTTTGGTGGGGGCCTGAAAGGCCTTCGCCAGCTTCGTTAGTGCCTCGGGAGTTGTTTGCTTTTGTTTGGCGACTGTAAACCAAACATGGCCCGAAGGATCGCAGCTCTGAGACGCCGTGAACAAATCCATCGGAGTGCACTGTGCAACCAGCTTAACAGGAACGCCATGCGAGTCCAGCTCACGAACCAGAAAGTCATAGGCGTGCTTCTGGAAATCGGCTGCAAATCCCGGATGCCTCCCAAAGAAGCTTTTGATTCCGACATCCTCTGCATGGAAGCTGACAGGCGAGCTGACAGGTTTGGGGACCGCCTGGCATCCTTGAGCAAACCCTCGAACCACTCGTCGCCATTCTCCCGCAGCCGTGCATTTCCCGAAAGATGTTGTGCTAGCCATCTGAGCCGAAAATATTCTGGTGAAGTCGCCGCTCGAAAGCTACCTTCCGTTGGTGCAGTGTAGCCATGTGAGGCGTGGATGCCACTCCGTTTGGTTCAGAGCACCACACTCTATGTTTACTTGGACTTCCTCTTTGGATTTGCCTTGAGACAGTACTATCTCACAGTGTGAGGTCACAAGTGCCAGGCAGACTTGATGTCGCGATGGAAGGCCTGGCTAAAACAAAGCCCAAAACCAGCAGGAGAGTTTGGGCTGCTTAGAACTCTCCCCTTCCATCCGCGGATGCTTCGTTGCCCCATGAAACGTGTTGGCTACGACTAGGACGTGTGAGCTTTGCCCCTTAGGCACTTGCGAATTAAAGTGGGCACGGATGACAGAAGCAGGCCTTCGGCGTGGCGTTGTGCATGTGGGACAAGCCGCTGGCAGCGTCAAGTAGGACACTCAACCTGCACAAGCGAAGCCAGGTTCCAGATCACCTGCAAGTTTGCGAGTATCATCAGCTGCGCTTGCCGGCGTGGCCGACAGCCTCTCATGCCAAGGGAAGCCATGCTGCCCGCAATGACATCTGTGGAGCCTGCCACACGATTTCAGATTCTCCGGCTTGCCATTCTCTGCACCCATCTCGTCTGACCTCTGGAAGACGTCTCCGCCAGAAAGAAACTCGTACCTGCCAGCAGGGCCCGGGACAGCAAGCGGCAGCCAGTGGCAGGTAGTAAAGGTGTCTGTGAGCTGGGGCCCCTACACAAGGTAGCGCCGCAGGCCCTGTTGACCCCACCTAGGAGAACGCTGCACTGTGCTTCTAAGTCCTTGACCCTTTGCCATAGCCTGGGGCACTGGCCCTAGGAGTGTCACCAGATGCGGATGCCTCGTCACATGCCGGCTGTGACAGCACTGGGGAGCGAGTGATGTCCTGGCCTGAATTTGCTGAGCAACATGACTTCTTCTTCAAAGCCTGCATCCTCCGATCATCGGCCCAGACATCTACAATACTCAATGACTCTGTGATCTGCCAGTGCCTCTTGCATTGCGCAATTCGCAAGTGTGTGCCTCTGGGCACTCCCCCTTGTCAATTAAGGCACCCAGGTCAATGGCCTGGCGCAAGGACTCTGCTGCTGCGGATTGAGGGGGAGGGGCGGGGAACTGCATACTTGCAAAGCCCTGCGAGTGAAGGCCTTGATGGCCACGTCCGAGCCGTCCTGAAGGCCACCGGTAACAAAAAACAACACTGAGCCGGCACAGCTCGGCATAAGCCACGCCATGTCCTTCAGTTCGCCGCGATACACTGCTCCATAGCAGCCACAGCCTCCATGTGAGCACACAAACCCCACCGGAAGCTCTTTCCAATGAGGACTTTGCTTACGCGAGCTTACGAGCTTCGAGTTTGTTGTTGCTGTTGCTTGTGCAGGCTTCTTCAATCTCGTGTTGAGCTTGCCCAGCCCGTCAAAACTCTGTAATCCCTAGCAAAGCATCCAAACTAGAATGGGATTGAAGCCAAACTGCTGTTAAACCTCAGGGACAGAATGCAGAAACTGTGTTGGGTGTAGGCGTTTTACTGCTTGAACTGCATCCGATGAGGGGTTTCACTGCTCTTTGGGCAGGAAGGCAGGCGATTGAAACACTGGTTCCGGTCACGAACAGAAAACGTACCCGGCTCCGACTTCAGTGGGCAACTGTTGGGAATTGGCGGGGTCCTGCTCAAACCACGCCTACGCTTCACTTGCACACGCACACAAGAAGGGAAACACTGGGCAGGCCTAAGCGCTTCGACACGTGGAAGTTCGAAGTTGCCTGGCTCAAGCGGCTCAAGCCCGTATCTACGACAGACTAGATCAGGTCATTTCCAGCTGTGACAGCCAGCACTGCAGCGTGCGCATCTGCGTCAAGCCGCGCTTGGACGCGAGGCCCGTCACTACAAGAGCATCTACGGGCCCACGTTGCTCAGGTGTTGAAGAACCTGAGAAGCACAACAAACAACTCTCGTCGGGCTCTCAACCCTTGGAGCGGAAACTTTCCGGAGCAGCGCCTACAGCGAGTGTGCAGTCTCGTACGCGGCCTTTCGCCCTCTTCATATCATTGGCCTCTTCTTCTTGTCGAACTTTGAGAGGACTGGGCCGACGTCAGGCAGCTGTTTGAGCGGATGGTGTGCAAACCTTGGGTCAAGTCCAAACTACGTAACTACGCGAACTACATACCACTTTCTGCATTCAGCCCATTGCCATCCCTTACCCCTGTCGCTCACCATCACCGAACCAAGCCAGTGAGCATCTGGCAACTAGTGGATCCTGTCTGTTGGGCAGGTTTGGGCTCCCACCGGCCTAAAGACCATTTGCTAGGTTACAGTAAGGGTTTCTGAGGAATTTGCAAGGTTGAGGGCGAAGCTTCCTGGTCACTTCAGTGATCTTACTGTCTCGCGCTTGCAGCTGGAAGATAGCCTGCTGCGCGCCATGCTCCTCTTGATGCAGCGACTCTGAAACGTCCTCTGGCACTAAGCTCCACACACCTTGCAAGATAGCCTGCTGCGCGCCATGCTCCTCTTAATGCAGCGACTCTGAAACGTCCCCTGGCACTAAGCTCCACACACCTTGCGCAAGGCAAACCGTCATGATCTCCGCAGGAGCTTCGCGTACGAACAAGCTGCTCTGGCGCTAGGGCAAACAAGAGCATTGGGACTTGCCTGCGACAATGCCCGCTTGGACGGAGCAGGCTGACGAAGCTCAGAAACCTTGGCGTATCTTTGGCTTGGCCTAGGTGTGTGGAACCACCGTGCAAGCTGATATAAGGTTCCACATCACTCATTTGGATGCAAGCAGCAGGTGTGCGGTAGGTGGCGTTTGGGGCCCACTAATGTTCAACCTCCTGTTCAACGGCATTGCCGATGCTTCTCGGAAGCTAGCGGGAAACATGTTGTCCATCTTCGCTCAGTGGCAGTTCAGGGCTGGTTGGGTAATATACCTGTGGGCACATGTAAGGCAATTGGCAAAGAGGTCAGGGTTTTGGGCTTTGCATTGAACTCTTTGAAACCTGGCTGTTGTTGCTGAGGGGACTAAGGTTTTTTTCATGTGACACGGGCGTCATTAGAAGCAAGTGCGCCTATCAGTGGGCAACGCACAAGCAGCCGCGGTGCCGAATCGCCTTCTATTCTCTTGTGTAAGGAAGCCCGGCCCGCAAATCGCGTGATTCGGGGTTTGGGCGTCGTTTGGGCCTTCATTTGAAGCAAATGCTTCCTCTCTGTCGGGAAGCTCCGACACCCTTTGTTATCATTCCGGACCCGGGGTTGGTCCTGGAGTCTAATGGCCAAAATGCGTGATGCGTTGTTGAGGACTTCATAAATGCATTTTGCATGTTCCGGTCCCGCCGGATACGAGCCCTTGCAGCATTCCAGCAATGCAAGCTACCCCAAGCCCAGTGAGTTGAAGGGTTTGGTATCAAGTGCTGATGAAGCAACCTCCTCAAATTCGGGGGCCTTGGCTTGAAATCCAACTCGCTGCTCGACTTGAACCCGTGCGACTTGACCTTCTCTGGCGTTTGATTACAGAGCCCGCGGCCTGTGACCATGCCTGGGGGGGGATGGGGGAAGGGGGGGTTATTCATGTGAAGCTAACATTGTGGATCTTCTTTCCGGCAATGCCTTCCCGATGTCTTTGCTGACAAAAAATCCAATAAAGGGAGACCTGATGAGGCGCTGGCCAAGCGGCGCGCTATTGTGGTGTCCTGCGCATGGGGATAAACTGAAAGTGACTGAATCACTGGGCAAACGGCGCTGTGACGAAGCCTGAGATACAGCCCAGGCAGAGGCGGCAGCTAGGGCGCCTGGTCGCAATTACACTATGCTCAGGTCAGACTGAAAATAGTTGGGGTGTACAATACGCAGGCTTCAAGTCCACCTGCTTCATCTCCGCTCAAGGCAGCCTCAGCTTTGGACTGGATGTGCTGGTCCCGTTTCATGCTTTTCGCTTAACATGACCAGATTCCAATCCGTGCGTGGCATGGAAGACAAAAGTGTGGCGACAAACTGCTGAGGCGTTGGCGCAAACAGCTTGAGCTGCAAGAACCTGTGGATGGCGTGAGTCGCTCCCGATACTGTCGGCTGGGCATTTCGGTCGCGTGCGACCATGCATTTTCATTCGCTGGTGATCTAAGCTTGTGCCATCATGTCCCATGATGCCATCATGCCACAAGCTACTGGATTGGCCACGCGCGAGCAAAGAGAGATTGTCGCTCTCCCAGACTCTGCCGCCCCGTGTGCTACGTAGTTTTTGCGGAGTTTGGCCAAATTGTTTCGCCCCGTCCCTTTCTTGTCAGCTCTAGATGCAGAGCTTCACATCACCCACAGCTGCCATAGCAGGAGGGTCGAGAATCACATTCAGATTTTATCTGTCTGGATACACCCAGCCCAATGCAGTCACATGTTGCCAACCGGTCCCATAATCGGGCCGCTGTGAACGGATGATGCAACGCAGACTGACTACTCATGACTAAAAACAGCATGCAACATGCTTAGCATGCTGAAATAGAAGTATAGGAGAGAGAGCACTGGAAAGCCCCAAACTACGGACACGTCGCTTGGCGGCTTGCCCTGTGAGGCTCCACCACGCTGGCTTCCTCGAGCCGGTCTGAGGCATCTTTCACAACCTGACGGGGGGATTTGGGGAGCATTCAAAAGACAAGTCAAAGTTATCACGTCACCCTCCCTCAGTACCATTACACTACCATTGATGGGATTACCAGTGCATCTCATGGCCCATGGCACTGTCTGATGTTTTGCAGGATGTGTCAACATGTGGGTTTGTTCGATAATTTGGGGGCGACAGGTGTTGGGATCAGGGTGTGTTTCGTGGGTATGTTTGGGGGTATGTTTCTGGGCTACTATTCGGGGTGTTGTTTCGCGGTATGTTTCGGGGTATGTTTCGCGGGTGTGCAACCCGAAGCCCTTCTCAAACCTGAGCCCCCCCAAAAAATAAACAAACCCATGTCTCAAATGGTCTCGGACCTAACAACTACAAACTGCAACGATAAGCACAATCTCGCAACTTTTAAAAGAGCATCAAAGAGCCAGAGTCCTGGCATGTCCGCGCAGAAGGCATCACTTTGGACGTTCCCAACACCGAAGAACACCGCCACAACTGGCTCCAAAGCCCGTACAAGCTACAGCTCAATGAAGTCTGCCAGCGCGGTACACATGGTGCTTACCAGGGGCGCCAGGAGTTCTGCAAGAAAGTTAAAGTACTACAAGGCAGCCATAAAGCATTTGGGCAACCACCTTCGAAAGTTCAGATGTGCATGAAGCTGCTTCAAGCTCAGTTCTTCACTCCATGTCATGTCGGCTGCTGTCCGTCCTACGCAGGTGCCAGGGCCACAGCGAGCACTTGCGAACACAAACAAGTTCAGAATCCAACAACTTCTAAGCAGTCTCCTGAGCTGCCTGGCCACGAGCTGCCAGCGAGATGACGCTTGCATGGAGTCAAGGCTCGGAACGCTCTGAAGGCTTGGGACCGTCGGTGTGATCTGATTTCGCCGACCTGCATGTCCACGCTTCGGAAAGTTTCGCAAGCTTGGCTGCTTTGTCGTGATCTGGGGTCTGGCGTGGAAGAAATCGTATGCACTCATTAAAGTCATGAGGGCCGCTGGAGACAAAATGAGACAAAGCTTGGCTCTGCCTTTTTGATCAGCAACATGTGCCAGAAGCTCCGGGCTTCTGTAGATCCGTATCAGCTCCTCAGGAAAGAAGAGCAACCGATAGGTGCAACCGCATGTAGTTCTCCAGGTTTCTCCGGAATGCTGCCAGGGCTCATGGTACAACTCCCATTCTGCCTTCAAGTTTCCTTGCACTCGGGCTAGGTAAATCCCATCGCAAAGGTCCAGCAGCAAGTCCGTGTTCGACACCTCCTGCGGTGGTCCAACTTGGCAGTGCCCCGCATCAGGCGCTATACTAAGGTGACCAAAGCCCTCAACAAATCTCAGGTCTCTTAACCGCAAGGCTCCTCGTAAACCATTCTTTTCGAGCTGTCCTTGAATATCGTCCGAAATAAATTGCCCACTGTCAGGACAACACCCACGTAGAGCCCGTTAATGGACCACCTCTCTCTGAGGCTGTGTTTTGTGAACCACATATTCCTATTATGGATGGTTCCAAAACGCTACAAAAAGGGCCAAATGGCTTTTTGTATTTAGTCGAGCGTAATTACCTTGGCAGAGCCGAAAGAAGTACACGCGGCGACGGGTACCAACACTCTTCACTCATTCGAAGGCCAATCTGTTCTCGTGGTGCAAAGATGTTCGTGCTGACCAGAGCATACTACATGTCCCACAGACCCGAGGTCTGGCTCGGTCGGCATGGGATGCAAAAATCTACTACTGCTTTCAGGCCACAGCTTGGAATCCTTTTCTGAAGATCCAGGCCCGCTAGCGATGTGATTGCTGGCAACACTGCAGGTGAGCTCGCGAGGTTGCGAACCTGTTGCGGTGGCATTGGAAGCCACAGACCTGAGCACAAAGAGGACTCACAGCTGCATTGGCACAGTACACGCCGGCAGCAAATGCATTTGCATTGCCTGAGAACCGTGAGTCAGCTTTTTGCTGCCACTTGTGTTTGCTTCTGGTCTTATCGTTGATGTTTGCTTTCCGCATCTTTCCGCTCTTGTTCTTATGCCGGTGGGCAGAAGGGGGCAAACATGGGCCAACATGGCCAACCCACCCCGCTGCACCGACGCGATCTCGCACACCTCTACATGTTCGAGTCGCATGAAGCGTTACATAGGCCTGTTTGTGTCCCCGATTCATGATGCGGCACTAGATGTTAATGGGAACTCTGGGCTGCAAGAATGGCTTCGTTCGCTTCCTTCGGTCTCTTCTCTCACTTCACTTTGCAGTTGCAAGCAGCGGTCGTTGAGTTGTTTAAGGAGAGTGAGGACCTGAAAGCAACATGCGAAAGCCGCCAAAACCAACCCAACCTCGAACGATAACAAGAATCAGAGCTTATGATTGAGGATGCCTGAGCCTTCTGCAAAACTAAAGCTAGCACAAAGGACAGGCAACAGAACTCATCGGTGACACATGACAGTGAGCCGAAACTTCTTGCTTCCTCCCCCTGCTTGCTGCTCTTCCGAATCAGCAGAGTCCACATCCGGAGCAAAGCCGATCCGTCTGAGGATGTCATTCTCTGGGCTGCATCTACAAGGTGACTTGATCCCGGCAGCCATCTAGAGAATCTAGAACAGAAGTACCATTATTCAGCAATTCAGCGTCAGACCCCTCCTTGTTGCATTCGAGTCACCAATAAGGCGGATGGGGACGCGGTGTCTGAGTTGCTGGACTGTACATCAACGTCACGGCATCATTCGTGTGCCGCCTTTCCTTCAGATGGCTCTTTTGAGGTGGCCTCTGCGTTTGCAGTGTTCGGGACATACCTATGACTCAATTCGAAGGAACTTTGATCTGACTCTGTCGCATCCCTCCTCCTTGTCCGGCAGGAAATCAATGTCGGAGACGATTCCGTCAGCCAGTCTCAAGAATTTCCTGCTGAACAAAAACCGGCACAACAAGGTCACAACAAGGCTGGGTTCCCTCAGAAATGACAGACATGAGAAAAGACTTATCAGCACGACTCGCATGATGCCGGCAAGAAGTTACAAAGCTGAGGCTCGGAAAGAGGTTGGGAATTACGAACTCTGTGCCGGTCTCAGCATCTCCACCACCATCCCCAGAATCCCCAGCATCCCCAGCATAACCCAGAAGTCTTGCCAACACCATGCGTGTGCTGTTGTCGGCTGTGACCTCACGCTTTCCTTCCACCGGAGTTGCAGTAGAGTTCAGTTCGAAGCGAAAATGAAGCTGAAACTTTACAACGGCGTCGGGGCTCTGGTCTGGGTCGATGAGGGCCGCCATGAGTGCTTGCATTGACGTTGACCGCTCCCAGAACATGTCCGAGTCCACCGGGAAAGATATGTTTTGAAGGGTGATGGGTATGTCCTGTTCAGACAACTTCTTCTGAAATGTTTTGGTGTCCGAATCCTGCACGATACGGTTCTGCACAGCCTGGTACAGTGTTAGGCCTCGGTAGCCATGAACCGCTTCCACTTTGACGCTCACCTGCATCACAGCCGACATGACTGGACTGGGGACCAACATGAAGGTGTTCAAACCAGAGAAGAAGATGATGGGTCCGACCAGCAGCGCAAGAAGAACCAGAAGAAGAGCCACTCCCATGTAAATCTTCTCAAACATCGGTCGCGCTTCTGCTGGCTCAGTCATGGCCCTGCCCTCCATGTCGAGTCGGACACGGTAGATGCCATGGTGTGCATCTTCCAGTTTCAGCCACATAAACAAGTTCATGGAGGTCTCTGTGACTGTCCAGTCTGTGATGACTCTAAGCTCATTTAAGAAGGGCAGGGCGCTGTAGACCTTGAACACGAGCATTGACCCAATGTCTGTGCTGTGGCAAAACCGGAGGCCGCCTTGCATAACGTGGACATCGTATTTCAGCTGCAGTGAGCTCAATGCCAGGTAGGTCAAGTAGAGCACATAGAAACCAGACAGTGCCGAGAAGCTCATGATCGAAATTTCTTCGTGCATCATATCCCGCTTTACAATTTTTAGGCTCCATTGCCGAATGAAGAGGGCATGGATGGCAATGACATGGACCACTACGTTGATCTTTTGAACGGCCCTTGCCATGATGCCCTGCGGGCCAGAACACACAGTTCTGTAGATCTGGCGTCCGAGGCCCTAAACCCTAAACCCTTTTAAGCACGGACTGAGGAGGCTGCCCTAAACCGCCCTAAACCCTAATCCTAAACCACAAACCTTAAACCCCCCCTCCCTTCCGCCTTCCACATCCAAGAGGCCGAGGTCCGAACCAGCACTTGGCCCTCGTCGTCTTCACAGATGTAGTCAGAGCGGTACCATGTGTACAGGGCACGATCCATCACAATCATGATGAGGAAAAGGACCTCTTCATTTTTTGTCAAAATCTGGGGCTCTCTCTTCAACCTTCGCGAAGAGATTGTGAGCTCGGGGGCGGGTCCAACAAGCCTTCAAACCAACATCTACATGTGTATGTATACATATGTATATATATATATATGTGTGTGTGTGTGTATATATATATATATTATATTGTATCAAACGGTTTTTGCATTCTCATTCTAGCCCAAGGATCAAGGACTTTCACTTGGTTGCCGCCAAACTGGTTCGCGCGAAGAGATGCCGAAAAGCTGCGGCCGTTCTCCACCATGGTGCTCCAGCAGAACATAAGCATGCAAAGACAGGTCAGAGCAAGGCACAAGCGAATTTCGTAGAGATCCATCGCTGGTCGTCGTACATTCGCTGCGCCCACAATGCTTGCCTTCCTAAGCAGCTGAGTCCGCGCGGGTGTCTAAAGCTCGGGATGATGTTAGACTCATCTCTAAGGACGGCACACCCGACAACATAACTTGTTCTTGCCGCATGTAAGTTTCAACCATAGCATGAAGGACTCCAGCTGTTGCAGCGATCTGTCTGTGAAGTTACTGGTCTGTCTGCCGACCTTCCAGTCAATAGCAGAAAACTCGACTGTGCTCGCTCAAGTTCGCTCAGCATACACCCTTGCTTGCGCCACACCTCCATTTCATCAGCTGCCAAGGAGTTCGCTGAGG